CCCCGTAAGGACGCCGTTGCAATTGTGACCTAAGCATCAATGGGCGCATTGTAATTAAGTGAAGCAAAGGGATATGTAGTATCAACCAAGCTAGGAATACTAACCAGCCCTTTCATGGTATTAACCCTACTCATACCGGGCTTTGTGGTGCATCAAGCCTCGGCCCCTAATCAACTATCGGAAAACCTGTTTTAACCATAGCATACATACAAACATGACAGCACATAAACACTTGTTGCACTAGTAGTACGAAAGAAACTAATAAATTTCTCAGAAAATTAGTAAAACATCAGACAACTTCCTTTAAGACCTACATAAGTTGTATCGTAAACTCAAAGCACCCATCTTTGTGGAGGAAAACGGGTAGAAATCTTAACGAACATGCAATGCTACGCCCAGGGTCGCCACGCCCCAATAACTAGACCCAGGATCGCCTCGCCCCAGTGACAGGCCTGAGTTCCTGAGTCAAATATCTTGTGTGTCTACTTGATCACTATTGACATATTGCTTAAAGGACAAATCCAATACTTTCAGTTTTGGGGCCTTTCCACCCAAAATCCTATTATGTAAATGGTGATTTATTGGTTTCTGCCAACCCCGCACATATTTGCGGTTATATCTGACCCGCTCGATGTTCCCCGGCTAGCGCCCGATTGTCCGCTAGGCGGCGCAGCGACTGTAGATTTGACGTCACCGGTTCAATTCTGCTATATGTAGCTACTAGCGAAAACAATCATGGCGGGCGCATCTGGACTGCATCGGCAAGTGGGAAGAAAATAAAAACCCTAAATGTGAAAACGATGTCAAACATGTGAAAGCGAGAGTTTGGGGAAATTGTGAATGCAGCGTTCTTGAGCACGTGCTTGCCCTACTTGCTCATTAAATTATGCAAGGACGCCATATTTAAATTATGCAAGGACGCCAAATAATTTTCCACTGTCCCTAAACTCTGTATGACCCCTTTTCTGTAGATCATAAATCATTCTGCTGCAGGTTTGCGCAATTCTGGACGATTTTAGTCCACACGATTTTAGATTTTCTACAAATTTGAAAGAAAAACGCTTTTCCATTTTACTGTCGTTACATCCACATAGATCTAAATCCACATAGATGTCACATTTATACAAATGTTAGTTTAAGTCCATTGAATAGGGTCACTGAATAGGGTCACCGACCGGGCGTGTATCTGTTCTGCGAGGACCATAACCCCTGCGAGATTTGTTTACATAGTAACAAACTCTTCTTCCAATTAATCTCCGAGCGAACCAGATGTGTCATTCACCCGGGCGAAGGTCCTTAGGCTAGCTCTTTTAACCATTTATACACAGGATCATCATGGAGTACGAAGATGTACTGCGGCAGTACCTCGGTGAGTTCGGCAGGTACCAGAAACTGGCAGCTGTGCTCATCATTCTGGTCGCTCCGACTGCTGGTGCGACCATGTTCGCACAGGCTTTCCTGGCGGCCACTCCCGAGCACCACTGCCGACTCTACCAGAACGACTCCTCGGGCATGTATGGCCACTCTTCCGGTAGACTCAATGTCAGTATTCCCATGGAAAACGTGGACGGTAGGTGGAGGTTCAGCTCGTGTTTGATGTACAACGGAACTGGTGGAACAGCAACAGGGGATAGCCAAACAGTAACATCGTGTAATCACGGCTGGGAGTACGACCAGAGCATATATCACAGCACTGTTGTCACAGACGTAAGTACAATTTTACCTCGTGTATGATACACATAATATTAAGGTTTGTAAAATTTTGGAAACACACTAAGATGGCTTTGTCGCCATTACACAAATACGTACATGTAAAAATCTGACATTGATTTTCGAGACCAAGACTTACAATACTTACCAAATGTTGACTACATAATGTATTGCAAATTGGAGCATAGTGTTACTGAACAAATGCTGGGTAGTTGATTTTGTAGGACAGTCCAGTTCACACTAAGACACCTAATGTTAGCTGCATTGTAGTGTACATGTATACTGCATATGGGTATGTTATAGCATGTGCTCCTGCAGTTTCTTCACAGTTAGTCAAACGATAGAAATGTCAGAATCATTGAAAACACAACAAAACAGTTCCATTTTCAAAATCATCGTGAGGGCAGGCTCATCTGGATAAAATGTCATGTTTTTCGCTAAATTAAAAAGGTTTAAACAAACAATGATTCAAAACATGATTTGCATACTTTCAGTACGACCTTGTGTGTGGGCGCCACTGGTTGAAGGAACTGGGTCAGTCCATCTTCATGGTGGGGATGTGCGCTGGGGGTCTAATCTCAGGAATGACATCGGACAGGTAAAAATGTTTCTTTTTTCTCTGGAAGAAAACAGAAACACAATGTTCTCACCGTCTGCCATGAAGGCATCTGGGATCATTGCACAAAAACATTTTACTTTGTACATTTTCAATTATATTGTGAACTAATATTGCTTCTTTACAATAGAAATCATTGTTACTTAAAGTTACAGTCAATAAAAGTAATCCCAATATTTCTATGTTTCGTCAGATTTGGACGCCGTCCAACGGTTCTAGCCTGCATCCTGCTGCAGCTGAGTTCTGGACTT